GACTCTACATCAAATGAAAGATAATGCTGTTAGGAAATTTACTGAGGCATGTTTAAGCAGAAACATCAAAATATAATATATATATATATATTTACTTGTTACTGCCATAATCTTAAATTTCAGTTAAAATAATATATACTTTTGTTTATAAAATCTAAATTTTTTAAAACATACATCAAGACACATGGTAGTGTGTTGTGCAGCCAAAACAACCTGCGGAACACACAGTGTGTTATTAATAGGAGTGAAAATTTCTGTAGCTTGGCCTGTGGTAATCCAAACTATCACATATTTTCAGTGGATGTGCTCTACTGGACCCTTACTTCACATATCAAATTACAAGGCAATCCATTAAGAAATACACAAGATATAAAATCTCCAATTTTGATTGAGTTTCTTCTTTTTTTCTTTTCTTCCCACCAAAAGTAAGTAAAATGTATTTGATAAAAAACATACTTAACTTTCATAGATTTTTTTCAAATTTGGTACATTGATAGAGCTTTACAATGTAAAATTAGGTGTCAAATTTGGTCTAAATATATACATGCTCAAAATTATTCAACAAAAAAAACACTCAATTTTAACTAAAATTTTTGTGCATGTCTGGGAAAAAAATCAAGATATCAGTCTGAAATTTTTACTACAGCTTCATCTAAGAGCAAAAGTGAATGATTTTAAATTTTTTGTTATTCGGATTAAAGGCAGCTGATTTAGAGCAGCTAAACCATAGGGTGAAAGCACATAAAGATGCCTAAATATTAGTTAGGCCAAGCAAACTAGATTAGCAGTTTCTAGTTCAAGTTTTCTAAAGAATCATATGGGTGGATGGTTATTATTCATTACCACATTTTAAGCACACATTTGCCTAACTTTAAGAAATTATACTAATTAAAGCAATTAGCTTGATATGGCTGTACTGAGTGCATGTGAGTGATGACAAGAAACTGTTAATCTAGTTTCTATGGCATTACTATAAAGGAACTTATTAACACTGTTTTAGAGAGGAGAAACTTCCATCATATATTTTAAAGAATCTGGTTTGTTCTGTAAAGTATAGGTCAGTTCCAAATATTAGGGTTGCACAAAAATATTAGAGTTGAACAAAAATTGCAGACTAGCTGGTTAATGAATGAATATTTCCTATAAAATTCTTGTCAATGCTATAAGTGTAGATATCAGTTTGGCCACCAATTTTGATTTAATTCCTTTAAGTCGCATGCCCAATCCTTTCTTGAGTGCATCCTTTTTTCACACTTAAGGCATTTTTGTATTAGATTATATATATATATATTCATGCTTACTCAGTAACGTTTTAAGCAATACTTTCTCACACACACACATATATATTCTATTGTTAGCACACACACTGTTCTTTCTAAGCAAATTCCATTTGTATAAGTAATTTTTATTTTATCAGTTCATTTTTAGCTTTTGTATAGCAAGCAATTTAAGTAGGCTCATGGCCAGAAATTTGTGCTTTAAGAAAAAATAAAAGGAAGACAGTTTATACTTCAAGAATGTAGATTATTATATCTTTATTACATAGTAAACTGTACTCTTAGAAAAGCAATACATAAATTAAAATAATTAGTATAACTGTAGTTTTGATTTAGAAGTATGTTAGATTTATGCGATCTTACATTTTTCAAACTTTGCATGTTACTGAATGTTTCCATCTTGATATTATTTCTATAAAATATAGTAGTTGCACATGAATTTTGTGTAAACTACATTAAAAATTATAGTTTTATAACAATTTTTGTGTGGACTGTACAAACATAACAATGGATATATTTGTGAAATTAGACATCATTTTACTTATGTTTAGCCTATGATAAAAGGCAAGTTGGAGTTGTGAACATATACATCGAGTTAATCTGCAGTTTTCGATCTTTATCTTTTGCTATGAAAAGCCATCATTCTTTATCACTGGTTATCTTATTCTTGAATATTGACTAGTATGGTCTAAAACAACATGAAGGACTACTTGTTAGCCAATATTGAAGCCATCCTTAACTCACCCAACCTAGGCAAGGAATTATCAGTGTGCAAGACCACTGAGGAGGACCCACCAGAAAAAGCAGTTGGATCTACTGCCATGAAGGAGATGTTAGAGAAGCTAGTAACATGGCAACCATCACCAATGCTGGAATATTCTCCAATCTTGAATGCGCAGAGTTAGAGTCTGATGCTATGACCCAAGAGAAGAAAAGGCAGTGCTAAAACCTAGAGGCAGAAAAAGTTAAAAAATGTTTACAGGATTGGTAATACCTGAACATCATCTTCCAAAAGACACCGTCAAATAACAAGAAGCAACCCAAAAATAAGAGGAAGTCTGCAAAGGGTCCAGCCACTCATACACACACAGCACTTGCCATACCAGATTTATTCTTAAGAGCCCAATGATCAATTCCAGAAGGGGTAGAGTTAGCAACAATGGACCACTGTCAAGCCCAACCTGTGAAGTGGACTGAAGCTTAGGCACTGATGCACTGCAAACAGTTATACTTCATGGACATCCAAACAATGACCAGTAGCACCCAGTATAGAAAAATCATGAACTCCAGAGGAGATAATGCATCTCCAGGAAGCATGCAGAGAGCTAGAAAGGCCTTCCATAAGATTTACACTTAAGAGGCAGCACCTTTGGAAAACATCAATGGGTTTCTGTTGTCTCAGTAGAGACAAAATTTACATAATAATCAATTAGTTTGTTCTTTCCTTGTTCTATTTTGTAAATTTAATTTTGGTTGTAATTTCATTATTTTGAGTTTAACTTTCATTGTTAGTGTATAATTGCCATCTAAAAAAGAAATTAATAGCTAACTCATGGATAGAAATAATGAAATAAAATTACATTAACTCGAAGGAAAGTTATAGGAAGATTATATTCCTTCATATAAAATTGCATATCCTCATGAATTGTTTTTATATTTAATCCATGCAATATGTTCACTTTCATTGGTCATAATTAAAGCAATATGGATGGACCATATATTCTCGATTGGGAAAGCCAACTAAAACAATTAAATTCCTCAAGCAAAATTAAATTTCTCAGGAATGTAATATTGTGATCCCTGTAACTAGAAAATGAGAATTCAAGGAAGATTAGCTGAATATTCGACTAAATAATAGTTTCAAATACAAAAATTAGGATGGTCATAAATTATAAATAAAAGATATTTTTACAAAATTCTTATTACATATAATTCCAACTAAACCTTTGTTTCAGTAACACAAACAAAGCTTTTTATTTAAATCTATCATAAAATCTCTATTTATTGAATCTTGAATTTTTCTTACTATGACTAACAACAATAAAATTCAAATTAATTTTTCCATTCACAAATGGCTTATCAAGGTGACTGGTGTATACAAATGTGATAGTCTAATGAATAAGTGTGCAATTGATTGTTCATTTAAACAATTGTTAATAGTTCAATTATCATTATTCCTATACAAATCATGTAAACATTTTTATAAGAGTGATACTGATAAAGTCTGAGAAGGATGCAGTCAAGCCCAGGTAGAGTTCTTGCAGATAAAGCATGACCCAGCCTAGGCAGAGGAGGCAAGTATTGCACTGAATAGAGCACAGGCTGTAGAGCTGACCAGCTTATAAAGCATTAGACATGACATGAAATGAACTGTGCAGCAATACCAATCTCATAAGAATTCTGGTTCTTCCATAAACTTATGGTTGCCAAGGAAACTAACAACATGGTACTCTACTCTGTACAGATGAAGAACAAGGTAAGGCCCTTGCACACAGATACATTAATTAATGTTACCATTGTGGCATGAAAGAGAGGCTCAAACTACAGCAATCTCTATCTGAGCTACAGTGCCATAAATACATCTAAAAATTGAGCTACAGGTCAGATAGTATAAGAATTTCCATTTTTAAGAAGCTTACAGATGCCACTCTGTTGAATTTTGTGTCAGGGTATCAACATAACTAGGCAACAGGTAGCATCAACATAATATGAACTGACGCCATTACCAAACTCTTACCCCAATTCTTGAGAGATCACTTTCTTCTTAAAAGCCATCAATTCATCATCCTACACAACATCAATGGCAAGAACCCAAAGAAAGCTGTAGTTAGAAGCTTGCCTATCACATTGAACCCCTGCTACCCTGTACTGTATAAAATTCAGAGTGGTTGTTCCCTATATGGATGGAAGAAAGCACAATATGTATATGGTAAATTCATCACCTGGATGCACGTTCCAGGCCATGTAGGGGAAAGTTAAGTGAAAAAAAACAACTGACAAGCTTGCAAGAGAAGCCCTTATATGAAAGCAAGCACAACTTTAATGGCAGGATATCAACATCCTCTACACTAGTAAGTATTAAGTGGCTACCATGGAAGGTCTTCATTAACTTTCAGAGGGAATAAGACTTCTGGAAAATGCAGTACCATATAGTATAGCTAGAAGCAAAGACAGAGAAACACTATGACAGTATACAGCCACTAGTAACATTTGTAAACGGTCTCACATGAAGGGTCAGCAGCTATCAAAGCAACCCTTGGGATTATCACCTGGTGCAAAACTCAACACCAAAAAGTAAATTTAATATTATCACAGCACTTTGATATTTCACTGTAGTACAACTGCTTTAACCAAGTCAGGATTGCTACCTGCAAATATGGCTCACTGTTATTGTTGAGATATTTTTATTTTTCAATTCTTTCATATATTTTCCATTTAATATTTTTAAAAACATTTAAATTAAGAATATTTCAGAATTCAATGACAAATAGATTGATAAGTCACATAACAGTGCATATGTCTAATGTAACAGATTTTCTCCCCACACACAGCTTCAAATGTTATGAATATTTTTACTGGAGAGCATTGAATTTTCTGACTCTTGAACTGGCAATAAGAAATACTGATATTAGTGTTGCTAAACATATATTTACATAATGTTCAGTGATTACTTCCAAGAATAAATCCAGTAGTACATTTTTTATTCAGTTTTGCTACACATACCTTTATGTTTAGTGATGGCTGCTCTGTAAGGGCTAGGAAAATACTGGGTAAGTTTCTTGCTATTTTGTAGGGTATGTACTTCTGTAATCAAATCCCACTGCTGCTCATCCTAAAAGAATAATCATAATCTAAATCCTATTTCCAAAATGTAATAAACTCTCTATTAAAATTATACAATTAAGTATTAAATCAGAAATACACATTTATTTAGAATTCTGATAAATAAAATAGTACCAGATTTATTATGAAGGGCCAAATTCAACATGTTGAGGAATATTGGGAAAACACAACTGACAACTTGGACATGATCAGTTTTTGAGACTTTGCCGATAATTGCTAGGGATAATTAATACAATGCATCAAGCAAACACACAAGTTCATTTTAATACTGCAATAGTGTAACCCTAAAAAATACATCTAGCATTAACACTGTTACAAAATTGGTATTAAGTTCCGTTATGGAGGTCTACCTCTTAATTATTCATTTTATCCACATTCTTCTTTTTTTCTCAAGTTTTAAAGAGCATTTGGGATTATCAGGTGTCAATGAACAACTAACATATCCACTCAATCATAATCCTTGACTTTCTTTTGATTGACAAAGTCACCATGAAATTTATTGATTTCAAAGACTTTCAACTGTATTCCATATCACTTCTCAAATATATTAACTGTTTTCATGAATAAAAAAGCAAATTACATACTAGGTTCATTCAACAATTACCAAACTACTTATTTTCAGAGTACTACTGCTATGATACCTTTATAAAATAAGAGCTGCACTTACGCATAAACAGCTACAGAGGTGGTGAAAGTTATATCAGGGTTTAAGTGAGTTCTTTTGAGGTAGAAAAAACAACAATATATAGCATGATAAAAAAGATCCTTCTAAAACTGAAGTTAGGTATGAAATCTTACTCTTTATGAAACAATACACTGCAGTACATTTAATTCCTGGATGACACACATGAACTTATGCAAACAGTCAAAACTTCTTGGTGATCTACTACACCACAGTATTAGACTTAAATTTGACTCATGAAATTCCAAGTTATTATTGCCTTTGGTCACCTCTAAAAATGGCTGGGTCAAAATATGCATGTCATAACTTTTTACAGAATTACATTCAAAATTTAAACAACTTTATTATGAAAGTCCCAAAACTTGGCATTAGAATGTAGTTGAGAAATTAAAATCCAAATTTTGTGTTATACAAGTTTTAATTTCTTAATTTCAATAAAGAACTATTTAAATAAATTCTCAATCTTCACTTCCCCACATCACATGATGTGTCTGAACTCCAAATTGCCCATCTTAGAATTTTTCCACTCTTATATGATTTCCCGAGTGCTTAGCTAATTGCAAAAACATGTGATAGATACTGAAAAGCTAGAATATAAATTTAAATTCTCAATCTTTTTGCTTTACTGAGATATAAAGAAAAGGCCAAAACTACATGACACATCCATCTCTTTCAGAAAAGGACAGTAATTCTATCTGACATTGTTATTGGACTATCTATAACCAATATAAAGAGTAGCCTTTTCTTTAAAATATTTCATATATGGTTATTTCATTCTGGCCCTCTGTTTCATTGTTTGCAATCATGGTGTTAAACTTCGAGCAGCTAATTGATTTTTCTTAACCTAGTTATAGCTTAGTTGGAAAGCCAGTTTAAGTTACAATAGTGCCTGATCTATTTTTGTGTTATAAAATGCATATTTTAAAGCAATGTGGATTATATTTTAGACAACCACTATAGTGTGAAAAAGTAGTTTTGCTTGCATAATGCATGTAATGTGAGGTCACGTGATCCAGCTTGACCCGTTTATTTACACTATGCTGTTCCACTGTGACATATTGTGTTTCACATACTGAGACATCTAATAATACTGTAAAAAGTATAATGGAATAAAATGAAAAGAAACCAGATATTAGTAGGTTGAGGCTGTCAGGATGACTAATTGTGACTTAAAATCTCAGTCATTTTAGAAAAAAAAAAGAAAGAAGGTATTTTTGATTTTATTTCATATTTTTCAACTTTTTATTGCATGTGCACTGATGATTTCACTAGTTAGTGTGAGAGTAGAGAAAATAAGATAGGAAATATAAAGTTTTACAAAATATATTAATTTAGAAGTTTATTAAAAAAGGAAACTGTAAAATGAAAATAAGTATTTTCATTCTTATAAAGAAAATCATTTTTCACTCAAACTGACTTGGGAAAGACTGTAAATTCACAGACAAATCTTCAGTATAAATACCATATTAACTTTTTTTTCTATAAACAACTGTTTTATAATGTGTAGGAGAAGCTTGCTAGAGCTTCACAAAGATAAATTTAGAATTATAGTAAACATTACTATGTATAGCTTCACAGAAACGGGGTTGTCAGTTTAACTCTTTCAGCATAGGCTCTGGCACTGGAACCAACCTCGTAACCATTTT